GCGGGCTAGGGCTACTGAACAAACTGATAACACCCCAGCTGCTTCACATTAGCATGAATCCCTGCCATATTCCATCATTTCCATTATGCCCTAAGATATAAGTAAAGAACATGAGCTCCATTTGTTTCTCTCCAAGTCTCCCCATCTGTTTGTTTTTTTTTTTTTTGTTTTTTTTTTTTTTAATAGAATAGAGTTGGCAAGTTTACATCCCTTCCCTTTCCCACACACACATTATCTCTGTGGAACAGGTGGCAGCAGTCTCTCCTTCACATGTAAATGAATCTTGATGCCCATATTTACTACAATCCATATCTGCACAGGCCTGGAGTTTTGAATGTTTCACTACTGCATACAATCATAAATTAAAACAAACCAATACTTTTTGAGAATGAGAAAAATAATACCACATGCAGGGTTTTAATAATGTATTAAAACAGTCTCACTTTTAAAACTTTGAAATGTAATTAACCAAAAACTAAATTGGATGTTTATTTACACACTAGGATACGAGATGTAACAATTGAACATGAAATTAAGACATCGTTTCATTCAAGTGTAGACGATCTAACCTAACACATAAATCACAAACACCTTGTTTGGAGCAACGGCCATAAATTCCTCATTAACATGGAAACTCTTAAAACTGCAAAGATGATTACGTGGAAGCCAACTCTTTAACCAAACCAGCCCATTCACAAAATGTGCTCTTTTTTTAAATAACTGAAAGCATTTACAACAATTCAGAAACACCAGTAATCCTAAAACAACATTTATTCTATAATTACTCCCAAAGCCTTGCAATTAAAAAACTCAAAATCGGTAGGTTAAAACAGAAGGGTTGAATAGGCTTAAGGCAAGCACTAATATAGTTATTTAAAAAGAAATGTGTCTGAGAAGAGGAAGAATTAGTATCAGCAGTTCCCATCACTTTTTTTCTTCACCCAGCTACCTGATAAGATTTAGTCTCCTGCTTCCATGCCTCATTTTAATCTTGCAGAAAAATAAAAATTCCTCTTTATGACATCAGTTACTTTCCTATATGTACACATACCAGGTTTTAATTTCATTGCAGAATCAAGACGGATACTGAGAATAGAGAGGAAGAATTATTTTTTTTTTTGGAAGCAAGTACTTTGCAACAAAAAATAAAGACTAAAGTCTGCTTCTTTATAGGAAGATATTTACTGCCCTCTCTTTCACTCAAGTTTCTTCCAACGTTAAAGGAAATGACAGCAACTTTCACTGACAGCTCTATGGGGACTGCTGTAGATACTGCCATCATTTGCCGGACAGGAGGCTTACTGCAGTATACTTGGGTAAATCTTACCCCAGTGATCTGTCCTCCGGCCAGCATGAGCTGGGTCTGGGGTATGGCCGCCTGCACTGAAGGCTGCTGGGAAGGCTGGCTTGGCTGCTGAGAGTCCCCAGATTCTTCATTAGATTTAGACTAGTCAAAAAAAAATATACAACTCTTTATAGTGTAAAACAGATGTTAATGTATAACACTGCTATCTCAACACTGCACAATAAAAATCTTTCATCTGCATACAAAAAGCCCTTGGGTTTAAGAGTGTATTTAAGCAATGGCTCTATGCGCCCACCATCTCAGCTACCATTGCTCAAACATGTCTGTAGGTAATGCAGTTTAAACAAAACAAAAAGACTCTCAACTCTTTTGTAACTCTCTGACATTATTTTCAGGTCTCATTTCATTTTATGCAAGGCAACTGAAGCTGATACTACCTTTCACCATAAAGAAAGAAAAGGTTGTTAAAATTATTCATTGCCTAAAATCCTGAACAATGGGGTGAGGGGAAGGAGATTGTGTTTCCATTTTCTATATCTGCATCCTGCACCTCTAAGTCATCATACTGTTGGCTTATATGGAAATGGTTTGAGAAATCCTCACAGATTTATCTACCTACAAAGTACATAATATATACAGTGCTGTTAAATAATCAAAGTTTGCATTTATTTAATTGAATGCTGCTTTATTTAAAAGATTTGGGGATTTTTTTTGTGGTTTTGGGCTTTTTTAAGCAGAAGAAATTGTGAAGATATGAGGGAGGAAATGCAAGAGTACAAAAAGGGGGAGAGAGCTTTATGATAATTAAAACTGGTTATGCAGAACATTAAAATTCTGCATAGATTTGCATATTTTCCACCACCTGTTTTGGGGACTGCAGAGCAGGCTAAGTAACATAAAGGCTCTGATTAATTCTGCCAGTCATTGAGCGATAATTACAGCGCAGGACTGTAAACATTCTGCACTGGAGATACAGCTTGTTTGCCAACATCTCTCTCAGGGATGGAAGTTTACCATGGCAACCAAGGCAATTTTCTGCCTCCTTCCTCTTAGAAAGGAAGGTCACTATACCTCCTCTTCTTTCCAAATTGTTATTATGTATAAGTGGGTCCACATTCTATTGCATTTCATGTAATGCACTACCTACATTCTTTAATAACAAGCAATACTGAAACCAGTTTTCAATAAAACTGCATCCTTTGCCCCTTAATATAGTACTGAGAGGAAGTGGCATGTTAACTGATACACTGAAGTGTTCAGCATCATAAAGTTTGAAAGCTTTGTTGTCTCACATACATTATTAAACAACAATTACTCTGACTTATTTTGAAATCACTATGTGTTATTTACACAAGCAATCTACACTAGCCACATTACCTAGTTACTGTTACATTATGCTCCTATATTCAGCTACCTCTAGAAGTAAGGACAAATTGCAAAGTAATACCTGCCATGTTTAAAACAAGTGAACAAATGGAGGAACATGAAATATTCTTTGAGTTTTATAGTTTTCATGATACAGCACCTGACTGAAATTCAGTATAAAATTACAATCACTGCATGTTTTAAACAACTCCAGTTTCTGAATGCTTACAATCCTGAACCTGATTTACAGTTGTAAAACTATTTTCCTTCACACCTATCACTTGCAAGGCCAGTCAGAACGAAAAAACCAGAGTAACATATCATAGGTTAAAAACTGTCTCTAATGGGACTGTAATGCTGTTTGGAATGAGAGAAGGATCAGCAGCAGAAGGAAACTGTCTTTACCTGTACATTTAAGGACTGAGCAGCAGCCTGTAAACTTGTTCCAGCAAGCTGGACCTACAACACAGTGCAAAAATGGAAATGAAATAACGTAGAATCCACAGAAAACTTTAACAATGTAAAATGAACAACCTCCCCAACTGCACCCCGACAAAAACTCCCCCAGGGACAAGGAATGCCCCTCTAACATTTGAATCAGTGAAACAGAGGTTCTGCTCCAGGCTGAAAAAAAATCTGTAAGACTTTTCCACAGCGTCATTTGCCTACCTCTTGCTGAATGTACTCCTGCCTACTGTTCTAGATATTATCATGAAATGGAGTAGAAACAGAGCATTATGGGGTGGACAGGCTTACTATTCCTATTCCTGTTAAAAAATCCAGGCTTCAGGGGAGGGTGTTAAGCCCTACTCATCATCATCCTTCTAATATTTCAAAATGGGTCTTATCCCAAATATGTACACTGCATTCACCTGCTTCATTATGCAACAGAGGAGCAATCGCCTGCATAGTACAGAACCCACAGCATAAATGCTCTTCCTCAAATCAACTCATTCAAGTATTTGCAGTCCTCAGCCACTGAAAATAAGATCTCAACATAGAAGACTGGAGACACTTTACAAAAGCTGTATTCATTCAGGCATACTCAAAACTTGAATTCAACGTTTATGATTAACAGGTCCAAAGAAGATCTTGTGGGTTAGCAGTGATGCTTCAGGAAGTGAAATTTTTAAAGTGTTACTTTACCCCTGAACAAGGATTTTTTCTGTACAACAAACATTAAATTTCCTTTTACTGAATACCATTTTAATCAGTCTCACCTTGTTTCTACCACCACTCCTACTATAAAGAAGGAATGCTATGCAACTAATTTCCAGAGCTTTCAAAGGACAGAGTTACAGCCTGTAGTGAATTCTGTCTCTGGCCATGTGTATTGGGTTTGTGTTGCGGGGTTTTGGTGGGGGTTGCTACAGGGGTGGCTCCTGTGAGAAGCTGCCAGAAGCTTCCCCGGCTCCAAGTCAGACCCACCTCTGGCCAAGGCCAAGCCCATCAGAAGTGGGAGTGCCTCTGTGATAGTATAATTAAGAGGAAGAAAAAAAACCTGCTATGAACCAGCAGTGGAGAAAGGAGTGGGATGTGGGAGAAACAACTACACAGATACCAAGGTCAGTGAGGAAAGGAGTGGGAGGAGGTGCACCAGAGCAGAGATTCCCTGCAGTGGTGAGACGGCAGCTGTGCCCCTGCAGCCATGGAGAGTAACGGTGGGACAGAGATACACCTGCAGCCATGGAGGCACCCATGACAGAGCAGGGGGCTGTGCCCAAAGGAGGCTGTGACAGTGTGGAAGGGATCCACCCTGGAGCAGTTTGTGAAGAACTTCAGCCCATGGGAAGGACTCACGACAAACAAGTTTGTGGAGAGCTGTCTCCCGTGGGAGGGACCCCATGCTGGAAAGAGGAAGAATGTGAGAATCCCTCCCCCTTCAGAGGAAGAAGTGGCAGAAACAACGTGTGATGGACTGACTGCAACCCCCATTCCCTGTCCCCCTGCGCTGCTGGGGGGAAAAGAGGTAGAGAAATCAGGAGCAAAGCTGAGCCCAAGAAGAAGGGAGGGGTGGGGAGAAGGTGTTTTAAGATTTGGTTCTCTTTCTCATTACCCTACGCTGATTTGATTGGTAACAAATTAAATTGATTTTTTTTTCCACAAGTAAAGTCTGTTTTGCCCATTAGAGTAATTGCTGAGTGAACCCTCCCTGTCCTTGTCTCGACCCATGAGGTTTTATTGGTTTTTTTCTTCCAATTCTCCTCCTTATCCCAGTGGAAGGGGGAGGAGGAGTGAGTGAGCACCTGCTTGGTGCTCATTGGCAGCTGGGCCTCAACCATGACACCATGTTTGAAAACCACTGCTCATTTGAAAACCAGGCAATACATAAGGATACAATAAAGCAAAACAAAATATAGCACTCTTATCTCTATAAAAAGATGTCTCCACATAATCTACATCACAAAAGAGAGTCCACCTATCTGCAAGCACAGGAAGAAGAGTTTAAATTGCAGTACATGAAATTAATAACTGAATATTCAAACAGGCAACCCTTAAGAGTCACCTTGGAAATACTTCCTACCGCTGTAGATGCAGGTACTAGACTTGAAAAGTATCTTCTACATCTAAGCAAACACTCCCAGAAAAGCTCCTGCTCATCATATAGTTTGACACAGTTGATGTAATCCCAGCTTTTAACAGGAATTAAAAGTAGAGAAGAAACTAAACAATAATAGCTTGCCTTCCAAAAAATACTCAGAAATATATCTTTTAAAACTACACAATAATAAGAAAACCACATAAAAGACTACAAATACATCTTCCACAGGTACAGCCAGCATATTGCTGAAATTCTCTTTGAATGCAATTTGGACACTCCTTCCACCACACAATAAACATTTTCTAATTAGAAATTAAACTGTTCCTGAATGTTGCCTACAACCTAATATTTTGTATTAGTCTGGAAGAAAGCACTGTATGTTAAGGCTGAATAACACCCTACCAACAGGAGCCACACTAGAAGAGGACAGTTTGACAATAGATTCCCACAAACCTGCAGGTGCATAAAAGAATAGCTGAGATTTTCCTTTGAACTAGAGTTTCAATAAATGAATCACACTTTATCAAAGTTACAAAGATCCTGACAACTGTTTAAATAAATACATTTCCAAAGCAAGATAAAGCACTCTGCTAAATACAATTACTGTCCTGGATCAATCTATGTAACAAAACAAAGACTAAAACAAACACACAGAATTCTGCAGAACAGCTATATCTCTCTCCATGTTAAATACACACCAACAACCCATGAAAACTAGTCAGCTACTCTCCACATAAAGGCAGCTTACAACAGCCTATTGGTTCAGCAAATTCAAACACTGGAACTCCCTAGGTCCTATATTACCCAATCTACTAGGAAAACCGTAATTATGTGACAAGACATGTGGAATGTTCTATACAATAAAATGGCAGTTCAGAACTCTTAAAAGAGGGTATAAAAGCTTCAGTATGTCAATTATACCACAATAACTGTGCAACCTCAGACCTCAAACATTCAAGGTCAGCCAATTAGGTACAGTATTTTAAAGTCTAAACTTGGTGCTGAGGAAGGGAAAGAAATTAGGACATTTGTTTTCATACACAAAGTGTGAACAGATAAAAAAATGCCCCTTATACTTCTTTTCACCTAGAGATGTTCCATTTTGCTTCAGCCTGCACCTGTAGCTCAGCTTTGATTCCCTAAACACAGCAGCAGCAGAACGGAAGTACAGTAGTAGAAGCCTGACTCTCATCTAACAAACAGTTCCTTGAAATAACTTTAAAAAAAATTTAAAAACTCACGAACCATATATGTTTAATAAGTACAATCACTTCATATTTCTTGTTAATGTATAAGAGCTTGAAAGATTGATGCACAGTGCTGACTACCATTCAACACCACTCCTGGTTTCTTAAATAGGCAGTGACAGTTTCAGAACCTTGGCAGCTGTTGAGCCAATACAATCCTTTACCAAAACCATGAAATTCTACCTTGCCTTTCAATTTGGTATCTCCATTAAGGTTTAATAAAACCAAACCAAAACAACAACAACAACAACCAGCCCAAAACAAAACTTTAGGTATTCGCAAATCCACAAAAAGTGCTTTCTAGTTCCCCCTCAATAGGTCTCACCCTATCTTGACGTATTCTGCAGCCTAATACAATGAAGTGAGTGTCACAATAAGAACTTTTTCTCCTCTAAGCTATTTAAGCATGTGGTCTACCCGTATGTTCCTTTACCTGACTAGCCATCATTCACAGAGAGAGAGAACACAGAACATACAAGAGGAGCTGTGTTTGTACCTGCCTGAGTCCCCCCTACTTTGAAATAGGTCTTCTCTTACCTGATGAAGGTGCCCAAGGAAGGCCTGGGCCTGGGCTGTAGAGATTGCTCCTCCGACAGGCACAGGCTGCTTTTGAAAGTCCAGGCCATTTGTTTGTGCGCCTGGAGAAAGAGAGAGATTAAAAATTCTTAGTTATTACTTTTATGAAATGGAATAAGAATTAAATTTCCTAACTCTCCTGCTATTCTCTCAATACTACATAGTAGAAAAATACTCTGCGACTAACAACAATTGAAGTTTTTCACTGAAGGGGGGGAAGCAGTGTCACTTCCAGACTTCAGTAATACAGTATTTGTCAGCTAAACAAAATCAACATCGTATTTTCTTTAGCTTCTATCACCTTACCTATCCTATGTATATTACCCCATCATTCTCTACCATAGTTTGAGAACCAAGTGGGTGCATACTGCTAACATTAAACTGTGTTTCTGTTCTGCATGCAGTCTCTATTCAGCACCTGAAGACAATCCTTAAATTCCTCAAGTGGCAAGAACAAGGTTCATATAAAATCACCTTTCATTAAAGACATATAAATAATACCTGAGGAAAACAGAAGGACTATATACATAGCAGTTACAGGCCACACTTTTACTCTTTTGATAAAAGATACCTCAACATTTTAGTGAATAATTGTGCAGAGCCCTCACTACATAAAATAACTGCCTGGGCTTGCTTTTGCTCTCACCCACTTTCATGTAACTAAAACCTGGTTATTTTCCTATATTTTTGTTGTCTTCTTCCTAAACAGCTTGGAAGACGTGAAAACTCCCAAACTATTCCCACAAGAAACTACCACAGAATTCTCTTCTGCCAAGAACTGTAACCACAAACTTTTGACAATCATTCTGTGGGGAGATAAAATCAACATCAGGGATTATCAACAACTGGTTTTGTATCTTGGGTATTATGACCTACAGTGGCTAACAACAAGAAGGGAGACTGAGTTTATCAGGCTACATGGAATTTCTAGAAGAGATGATGTAATAATTTCAGCCATGCAGTTTTTAAGAAGTAAAACCAGCTTCAGACTTGCATGTTTACTCTTCATGACAATCAGATTTTGTTCAGTGCCTATGGACAGGTGTTCAGCTAACTCCTACTTCAAAATTCTTTCCATCATCTACATTTTTCACCATAAAAATCAAGGTTACACACTAAGCAAAACTGAGTCACAGTTGTCAAAAAACAACAGGGGTTTTCTATTCCTTAGAAACATCTGCAAAAGCAAGCAGGTATAAAATTTTATTAGTAAAATACACTATCCAGTATTTTACATTGCTGTTTTGACCTACAAACAGCTTACATAGATAAAATTTCCAAAGATGGCATTACTGTTCAATTAAATACAGATACAATGCAGATAGTCAAGCTTTCTAGCACCCATGTAAGATATACCCAAGGTGGCCCTTTGACATATCTTTGGTGGAGGTACTGTGGGGGAAAAGTTATTCACTCTCAAGTTTTTAATTCTATGCTCTGGGCCAAGGTTTACAGATTTAAGAAACATATGTGCACCCAAAGATCCACAGACATGTTAAAAATATTTAAATTTTAAACTACATAAAATGATTTTTCTTAATGAGTCTAAAAATCCAATCCAAAGTGAAAGGAAGGACTATCACTGGTCTGAACTGATCTTGAATGAACGTGACTTTGTTGCATTTCTCCAAAGAAAGGTAGATAAGAAGGTCTGCTGGAAAGAGCTAGAAGAATCTCATCCATTTTCATCCTTTCCAGTAAACTGCAGAATTCTCTCAATGCAGAAGTCCAAAGGGAGTGGGAAGATGACTGGGTGAATATATAAAAATAATTCCTGACAAACAGCTACTGTAACTCAAAGGAAACAATCTAGCACCTCCTCATTTTAGCAGACGCTTTGAATCAGTTTTCAACCTGTGGTCAGGGACCCCCAAGTAGGGGAGAAAAAAAAAAAAAAAGGCAGATAACCTACTATACGGCAGATATTCCTCATTCCAACTGGAAACTTGCAGGAGTCAGAAAAATTATCAGTTTCTGAGAGGACTAGCTGGAAGCCCCAACCTTAAATAAATAAGTGAAGCTGTTCTAGTTAACTATCTTCCAAAAAGAGCCTCAAATCCCAATACCATATTAAAAGAGCACTGCTGTGCATGTGTGCGGAAGAAATGCTCCAGGTTACCACTTCTGCTGATTCTTAATATGGAAATTTGAAATGAGCCTCCTAGGGCTGATAGTTTTGAACAAAGCAATTTCCAAGACTGAGCTTAAAAATCTCTGTTGGTCCCAAAAAGCACTTTAGATAGGTACTGAGAGAAAACAGCATTTTCTTTAAATTCAACCTTGAAAGACTCCAACACCCTCCTACCCATGCCCCCCCCAAACCAAACTCACAGGAGAAAAAAAAACAAACCACACCTGTTCACTCTCTGTTCTACATGCATCTTTGGAATTTGGAAGTACAGTGTTCCTTCCCCTTCAGATGCAGCCTTAGTTTTGGAAGGAATGCTACCAAGGTTGCTTGCATTTATCACAGGATGCCTACGTCTTTTTGAAGAACAGCAGGCAAAATGAACTTTGAGTCCAGCATATGAGAGGCCTGGCTCTTAAGGTGCTCATAAGAATGTGACACTACTCCTATGGAATCCAACACATCTGACAAGGAGACTGGAAAATGGAGCTGTCAGAAGCAGAAGGTTGGCACACTAAGGACATGAAAGGACCAGAATGCCACTTCTGCTGAAGATAAGAGTTAAATGCAAAAAACCATGATGATTAATAGACATGGCAGATGCAGTTACAAGTATTGTGATTTTAACAACCATAAGTATTTATGTGTTTTCTATCTCCACACCAGCTCCTGTAACTGCTAGAGTGGATCTAGCAGCTCACGGACACCAAAAAACCAGGAGTAGGAACTCTCCATCTCCCATCTCATCTCGCCTTGCTTCTTGGTTCCAGGTGCAATGTCCCTGTCCTGCCCCTTCTGATAGTTCATGGACACAGCAGTAAGCCAATTCACACTCCTAACTGAGTAGAAAACTATTCACAGAATCATAGAATGGCCTGGGTTGAAAAGGACCATAGTGATCATTTAGTTCCAACCCCCACCCCCCCCCCCCGCCATATGCAGGGCCACCAACCACTACACCAGGCTGCTCAGAGCCACATCCAGCCTGGCCTTGAATGCCTCCAGGGATGGGGCATCCACGACCTCCCTGGGCAACCTGTGCCAGTGTGCCACCACCCTATTCATGTGAACTGTTCCCTTTTTCTTTTGGCCAAGTTAGTTTTCTGCCAGTTACGTGAGATGAACTAACTTATCTTAGGACCCAGCAAGCAGCAGATACTGCAAAGCAGGGAAAGTCAGAGAAGTAGGAGTAGGTAAATGTGCCTCTCCCACCCCCACCAAGTTGTTAAGACTGAATCAAGTTGTAGGATGAAAATTTCACCTGTAAAGCCCAAGCCCAATACAGCTTAAGCATATTTAAATTCTGTCATAAATTCAGACATATGGTTAGCTACTTCATGAATCTGGTTTGGAAGAAGATTAATACTAAGTGCAATTAATTTTCAGAAGAATCAAGTCTTTGAACCATCTCACTCAGGGCCACTCCAGGGAAATGAACAGAACACTATGTACCAGGATACCTGATAGATTAGTTTATGCTGTCTTGGAATTGTACCTGCAGAGGTTAAAGGCATGACAAAATGGAGCACACAAGGCAACACTGCAGCTGCAGTCAGAACATACTCTCAAAATCCAAGATCCTAATCATCAGACTTTAGTCTGAGTTTACAAACTACATAAGAAAAAAAGAAAGAGGAGTGAGGAACTACAGGTCTGGGGACATGCGGAGTAAGGTGCAATAAAGGACTCAGAAAAAGAAGGCAAACAAGGAGGATGAAGATTTCAAACCTAACTTGAGTGAGTATCTGCACCATGCTCTGAGACGCATCTTCCAGCACCAGCATTACATTTCCCCATCTCTCCCTCTCTGCGCACATGCGTGTGAGTGTGTTGAGAGGGATCAATCCCTAGTACCCAGAAATTGTTGATTCCTTGTCAATGTTACTAATAAGAAGTTTAGTACTGCCATTTGCCCAGAATTTTAACAGCTAAAGAATACTTCATGGTCCCTCTCCCACACTCCCATAGACTTTCTTCTTATGGAAACCAGAAAATCAATCTCTGAAAATGAAGCAATGCAAACAAGAATCCTTCCAAATACTACACTTACAAAAATTATTATTTTATGCTGCAACCTATAAAAAGGAAACCAAAAGGGCTCTGTTTACTGTAAGACACTATTCTTAGTTCTCTTTCTTCCAGTAAATACTAAGTAGACTGTCCACCCACAACTGGAAGTTGGAAAAGGTTTGTGTAAGTCTGCAATACTGATGACTAGTTGATCAATTCATGTTCTTGTGAAAACAGATAGTCAACAACTCTTGTACTCCTCAAGACTTTTTCTGGTGTTGTTTTTAATTAGTCTGAAATATGGGTTCCTTTTTTCAGATGCTTAAAAGGAGAGTTCAGTTAGCAGAAAAATTTTAAAGTTAAAATTCGTTTCAGGCATTTTATTGTGACCAGTGTATTCAGGGGACTTTACTATGTTCCCCAAATACTCAGAATTAGAAATACAAAATCCTGATTTGTTAATTTCCATGAAAGTTCGCTGTTAGCTCAGAGAACTACTGATATTGTCATCTTTACCAGTGGCAGCCATATCTTTTTTTCTTAAGAACACTAGCCCTGCCAAATATAAGTTCTATGACCTACAGTAATTTCTCTCAAAATTTTCAAGTTGCATCAATTTACTACAGTTCAAAACAGGAATGACCCAAACAAACATCCACTGAGGTTCAAAAGATAAACTAGTAGTGCTTACACAGCAGACTCAAATGACTTACAGATGTCACAGTTACAGAACAGTTACAAAAATAAGAACTCTGAGTGTCTATAAAAATCACCTTCACGCATTTTGCTTCAGAGCCTATGCTCCCCAGACAATTAATGGCACTTCCAGTTCCTTAGCACCCAAACTGTAAGTTGACTTCTTTTTACTAAGAATGCACAGAGCCCAGAACCATAATCTAAGTATCCTGACCAGAAGCCTAAAACTACATTCCATCAGTATTCCTTTCAGGGTTTAACATCTGACAGTTGACTAATACAACCAATGCCTGAGCCCACAGAGAATGTCACAAATGCCATTAATCACTACCTCCCGTGGTTTATGAACACTATATTTAAAAACAAAACAATGACTGCAGAACAAAGGGTCTTCAAAAATTCTAGATTACTTTAGTTTGCATAATTTAAAAAGTTAGGAAACAAAACTGAAAGGAATAACTGGAAATATTTAAATTACAGAAGCAATGTTTGCAAAAGGTCCAAACCCCAGGAAGAGTCAAACTTTTGTAATAACTAACCTTAGTATCAGAGGAAAAAAAACCACAAATGTTGTGATCCCTTCTGTGACGAAAGCACCTACATGCAGGTTTACAATTCGTGAAATTCTTTATACCATGACCACTACCTTCACTCTGATGAAGTCTGTGCCCAGCATTCTGCTTAAGCATACGCAATACTTCCCTGACATGGACTACTTTTGAATACGCCAAGTCCTCCTCTTTAACAGCTCAGTTTAGGTGAAACTGCTAGCTAAAGCGGCACTTAAGGAAGTGCATCAGGAATGCACTCTTTGGAGAAAGCATAAACAGGGAACTGTGGTCATACAGAGCAGGAAGTCAGAATTTTCTCAGAACTTTACACGCACCCTCCAGCTACAGGGATTCTATACAGACATTTAAAACTATTGTTCCTTTGATGCTGTTTATGACTATTAAATATTTACAGCCCATATATTTTTTGAAATAATGTTTTAAATCATCCTATACCCATATTAAATATGTAATAAATCCTCTTCATACATAAAAAGAATTTACACCTCCCCTATTGCAAATACAATGGAAATTATAAAAACTGAGATGTTGGTACCAAAACACACATTGATAAGTGAGCTAAATTCATTTTGACTGACCCCTTGCATTGGCAGAAAACATCCAGCCTCTTGGATTAGTATCAGGAACATTCAGTCACTCTTAGTTGTATTAAAGCCTTGCACAAAGAATGAGGAGACAGCAGCATAAAATGAAATAAATTGTTAATTCATCACAACTCCAGAGTTTAAAATAAAACTCTTATGATCGAACCAAGAGGATGAAAACGAATTTTCCTCATACAATGCAACTAGACTTCTCTCAAAGTAACAAGAACAAGGTCCTTCTCATTATATTTTTCTCTTCCCAAATGCTATCCTGAACTCAGAGAAGATTCTGAGTTGGGCTAAACTATTTACTTTTAATTCAGAATTGTCATTTCTCTTGCTTCCAAAATGAACATCACCTCCAGAAGGGCTTAAAGAATGAGATAGCATGACTGAATTATCATGGCTTAACAAGCTTCTTCAGTGGCTTAGAACCTGGCCAAATCTAAAGGATGTGCCAAAAGACACATTGGCCCTGACAAAAAGGCTATTCTGCCCCAGACAAATTTTAAGGTTCTAACACATGAAGAAATTATAGAAAGGCCAGGTAACATTTTTTTTTTTTAAATGTTGAGAAATGACACTTTCTCCCATTGCTTTTTTCTTGAGAATTGTTGTGAAAGCTTGAATGAAGCCTAAAATGAAACCAAGATATGCCAGTAGCCCACATCTGCCAGTGAAAATTTCAACCCAAAAATGAATGACAGAGTTGCCAAAGATATGTTCTGCCAGGAAAAAATGAGGCTACTCATGGGGAGCTAGTGCCACCAGATCTTCCATAATAACAGAACATTACAGAAAGAGGAAACGGGGAAGAGGAATCTTATACACATATTGACAAAGTGTGGGTAGTGCTCCGATACAGTAGGTATGAATAGTGCCCTGCCAACAGTAGGGTTGATGACAAGACAGAAGTGTTCCCAAATCTCTAAAAACAGTAGGTGTGGGGTGGAGGTTTTTTTGTTTTGCTTTGTTGTTTTTGTTTTTTTTTTTAATTCCTGTAAACTGGTAAAGAAATTTTGCTTTTAATATGCATTCAAATCCACCAGAAAATATCTGTACACCAATTCATCATTTCTTACCTGTGTTCCCGTCCCCACTCTCCATTGATGGTTTACTGGTTTCTGACGGATTGTTCATTCTTGAGTCTGCAATAAAACAGAAATAAAGATAAAATAATACAGCAAAAAAACCCACCCAACTCTATTTATACCCTCTTGTTCAACAGAAGTACAGAACATCAGGAATTTGATATGTACTTTACCCTAATTCAGATTATAACACAAAAGGAATGATCAGGTGCAGAACACAATACTGAATTTTCCAGATAAATATTGTTTCAAAATTTTGTATAAATGAAAACATGACGTTAAGGGAATAAAAGACAGCATGTTGGAGGGCAAAGATAGGTAGGAACTTAATTTTCAGTACAACGAAAGTTATAGAAGCAAAAAGAGGGGGCAGGAGGGGAAAGAAGGAACAA